GATCTTAAAGTTACAACTTATCCTCTATTTCAATTTATTTGACTATCCTATTACTCGTAGGAACTAAAGCTGCTAAAGCTTATTGTAAGCGATCTTTTTTTTTTATATTATATACCTTGCATTGTTAGAATTGAAATTGTCCAATCAGATGTGGGTTTTGTATGTGCCAAAACTACCAACTTTGGGCAAACAATTGGGACATTGGATAATTTAACTATTTCTGCCAAGAAAAAATTTTTCTACAACCCAATGTGAGGCAGTTCCTTAGCATGTATAAATCTAGCTAGTGGACCTTCTACAGGCCATTCCCAGCAATAAAACTTTGAGATTCTAGTTATAGTTTTAACTTTTACTTTTTTTAATTTGAATTTTTTTTTTTATTTAATCTGGAGTCTCCACAATCTTCTTTGTTACAATTTATTGTAATTTGTGCCAAAGATGTTCTTGCTAATCTCTTTGCTGCTTCGACTATGTTCTCACCTTCAACCAAGTCAAATCCAACCCGAATATATTGTCTAATGCTATAGCTAATCTAATATGTTATCAAAACAAATTGTTTTTGTTTTATTAGTTTTATAAAAATTAATATATGAAAAATTCAACACCATGTTTGCATGATGAGAGTCAATGGTTGTTTTAGCTTCCTCTGGCTCCAAAAACAGTTTTTTTTGACCTTAATAGAGTACCATGTATGCCAATGTGCTATGATAGTTATCAACTCTGAATTGTGATAATGTGCACCATTGTCAGAAATTATAGTTATCCACTTTGGCTTTTTTTTTAGTAATTTAAATACTGCCTCAAATGAAAAAGCAGTAAACTATGCATCTTGCTTTTTGTTAGTAGACCAATGATCGAACATCTGAACATCTAACACATCTATACTTTCTTCTTTTCTGAAAACTAGGATAGTATGCAAAGTCCAATCTCTTTTACCAAAAAAATCTTTTTTAGTTTCACGAGCTGATTTCGGAAGAATTTTCATTTTATAGTCAGCTACAATTAGAGTACCGTCAGAATCCAACTGAGCTAAAGTTGCCTTGAACTAGGTATTAAGATAAACCTTACGTGCTTGGTGATTTAAGTAATGCTTTAATTGATCTTGAACTTTATACAATTGTTTTTTATAATTGTCAGTCACACGGCTCTTTAACTGATTAAAAAATTTATAAAACTGTTCACACTTAGAATATCTTAAAACATGTAAAGCCGAGTATTTTCTAAAAGCATATAGAAGACAATGATCAATACAAGGATCATGTGAAATTGTTCCATTTGACAATATTACTAATTCTTGCTCAAATTCTCACTTAAAATGGCATTGCAAATGCTCAATCTATAAAAGTATTTCGTTCTAATAATATATATATATAATATATTTTAATCATAATAGTAAGAATAATTTATTATAAAAAAAAAAAAATTCTAGTTAGAGAAAAAAAAAGTGTTCTAACCAAACAAAAAAACATTTTAGTTAGACAAAAAAAAAATACTGTCACTACAAATCAAATTTTTTTCAAAAAAAAAGTCCTAACATCCTAATTAAAGAAAAAAAAAGAATACTAATATTCTAATTAAAAAAAAAAAAGAATGCTAATATTCTAATTAAAAAAAAAAAAAAAAAAACTAATAAATACTCTAATTAAAAAAAAAGACTAAAATATCCTAATTTAAAAAAAAAAAATTCTAATATCCTAATTTTAAAAAAAGAATCCTAATTAAACCAAAAAAAAGATTCTGATTTAAAAAAATTGCATTCCAAACCCGTATTTTAATTAAGAGGAAATGTATATGCATAAATCATCTTGAAACAATAAAGCAATAATTAGAGATTTTGAAAGTAAATACAGTGATCAATGATAAAGATATAACAGTGCTATAATATGATTTTAAAAATGTTATCGAGTTAATTAAAAAAAATCTAAAAAAAGTGCTCTTAAAAAAAAACAATAATGAAAAAAAGTAATGCATCTTAAAAAAAAAAAAAAAAAAAATATTGGTATCAATTTTACTTTGTTAGAATATATATTTAGTGCAATTCCAACTAAACTTTCAAATAATCCAAAACTATAATTATTACAGGTCTCACAAAGACTATCCAAATTGTCCCGGTATTTTAGATGTATGTAATTTGCAAGCTAGCCTATGAAAGAGGTTTTTTTCATTCTATTTGGGAAGGTTTGCTGGAATTTTTTCTACAGAGAAGCCTTGTTGGCATGTAAATAAAGAATGAGTAAGTTAGTTTTTAGGTCTATCTTATAAGAACTTATTGTAACATTATCTTTGTCTAAAAAAAATATTTCGAATTGTTTTTCTTTAAATTCTGCCATTAATTTGATAGTTTTTTTTGATATTTCTGTTGGTAGTGCACTAGCACTATAGAGATGTGCATACTTCCTTGCTTTGTATATTGTTTTTAGCATTATCTACAGTATATTTTTAATAATAAATTGTATTGCATTAATAAAAATTTGAATATAAAGTAAATACTAATATCTTATATCTAATTCACATTGAAGTTCCTGATAATCAAAGTCGAGTGCAATAATAGAAAGTATTTGAATCTTTCCTTCAGCTCCTCTTTTGTTAATATCTAGTACATTACAAAAACTATCCCAGAACTAACAACTTATTGTAGCATTATATAGAGAATTTTGATCTTAAATCTGAAGTAATTCCTATTGATATAAGTTTTGTAGAGTTTGTCTATCTGTCTGATGATTTACTATACATATCCAAAATTTGATATCAGATTCTTCTTTTGAATAAGGCATAATATTTGTACACCCACAGGCTCTAAACATGGAACGTTAAGCAGCAAGGTCTTTGTGTTGAAATACAAGATCCAGTGGATATATACTATATAAAATTTGTAGTATTCGAACTATTGAACTTTGTTGCATAATCCAATTTGTAAAAAGAACTTTCCAGTTAATATTAGGCATTGGAATTTTTTACGTTTGATATTTAGGTTAAAAACTTGTTACAAAACTGACTCATTATTCCAATTATGTAATGTACATGTTGTACGTATTTTGTTTTCACTCCATTTGTTAACAATGCTTGAACTCTTATATCTTTTAATCCAAAAAGTGCAAAGAGATCCTCATTTTGATGCATTCCATACTTTTTCCAAATGATATTTGGTGTTTTACCGACATATTGTTGTATTTTATTTTTACCCTTAAAAATACACAAACTGTATTAATCTTCTAAAACTTGTTGCAAAATAAGATATGATTCTAACCCACGATGTGATATTAAAGATGATGTATAACCTAAACCAGTGTTAAAAATTCGTTGTGTATGTATTGTTATTGCACAAAATTAACGATAGTTGTGTAAATATACAAAAAATAACATTTACATATAAAAAATTTTTTTTGCATAGCATATTTGTGTAAAATTTTAAACACTGACCTGAACTGGTATATAAAAGATCTTTTTGCAAAGAATATCCAATTTTCGAAACTACTATAGAAAAGTTACTAATATTTATATATAATGGGAAAAAAGAGATGTCACTAAGTATTTCTGATTCTATATCTTCATTATAAAACCCAAATACTAATAAACCCAAATATTTCGTTCGAGTTCCAAATACTTCTTGATATAGTAAGTTAATAGCAGTTGAAGGTGTATCTTATATGTCACCAATTTTCTCCCCCAACCAAACATAAAAAACCTGGTTGTAGGGGATTTGAAGGTCTATTAACAATAGATAAAATAAATTTATAACCATTTATTTGAGTTGCTAAGTTCATATAAAGGTGAAAAGGAAGAGTTAATATGTTATTATTTGAAATTTTTAAATCTTGAATCCACCAATCTCGTGCATACGGTCCGTAATGGAGGTTTGAGTTTATTTGTCCTTTATTTATAAGTTGTACTTCGTATTTTTTACTTTTTGACATTTTTAATGAAGCGATCTTTTGAGATTCTACTAATATGAAATTTTTCTATTAAATGCCCGTCGTATATAACTATTAAATGTCGATCATTTTTGACCCTTTAGTTGCGATTTTCCACTTAATTTATTTCTATTCCAACATACTATATATACTGTAATAAAATTATTTCCACTTTAACATACTACTAAAAATGAATTTTTTCGCACTTTAACATACTATATACCATAGTATCAGCTCGTTCGGCTTCGGTTTTTATAATTGTCAAATATACAGGCCAAATCAAGCTGATAACATTCTTATTGAAAATGATGTAGAATTGTGATTTGTTTAATCACACCAAATCACATAATTTCCGTGTCTCTGGTACGTACGTACGTAATCACTGAAATTTTGATCCAAGCCTGTGTTGTTTTGATTAACATGATCGCGATTTTTCAAAAGAGAAATATTTATTCGAATCGAATTACTCAAAGAATTTATTCAGTCATTGTGATTGCGTCTAAATTGTAATAAGTATTTTAAATTCATTTATCTTTAAATTCAAATAAGATGTATTTACATTCAAGCTCGATTTTTAAATATAAAATATAAATATCTAGTTCAAAATCTTTTAAACATTTATTTTTTAATTTAATATAAAGTTATTCCTCATTTTTATGTATACGCGGTTTTAGGAATTTACTAAATCAATTTATTTATTTTTTTTTAAATCGTGTATTATTAGGTCTTATATTTTAGTTTTTTTGACCTTTACAATAAAAAAGTTTACGAATTTTTTTGTCCTCAAGTCTCGGATGTGCATTCAAAGCATGGTCTTCTTTTACTATTATGCAATAATCTTTGTTTAGAGAATATGATATTCACAAAAAAAAAATTAAAATTTTTCGTATAATACTGTATTACTAATTATACTTATTAACGATGATTTAAAATCCATATGCGGAACCAGCGGTGCTCAAATCAAAATTGTAAATACGGTATGGGCATATGGAAATCATTTTTATAAAAAAAAAATTCTTTCAAACCAATCCTATTTTTCCTATAACCTGTCCTTATCCTAACACGAGAAGGACATTAGTGAGAAAAACAATGGATGATGCAAAGAAAAAGATAAATGATACTGGGTCAAGGTTTACAAAATGTGGTTGTAATCGGCGGGTCACATCGCAAAAATGCCCGTGATCAATTTTAATTGGCTGAATACAAGTAGATCATTACGTAACTAATGCAGTAATGGGTAAATAAATGACGTATCCCCTCCCTTAAAAATTTACGTTGTTTTTTTTTGTATCGATTCCTAACTTCAGAACTGCACGTTGTTGGACTTTTGTTCTTGTCGCGTCCAAGGAAATCGTAATGAATAGAAAAGTAAGTATTGAAGACACGGAAGTTTGTTATGTAAGCTTTTGCCGAAAGGGTCTACTGATTATTGAGGCGGGAGGAGAAGGGATCAGTAACCATACCTTTTTGTTAAGAGGTCAACACTAATTCTGGAGAAAGAGTTGGTTACGTACCTTTTAGTTATATAACAAACTTTCCTGTTAATGTATTCCTGCATTAACAAAAACTTTCTTGTTATTGTATTCCTGCATTACGTCTTCTTTTGTTTTTTTCTTATTGCGAAATGTGAAACATTTCTCATACATTTCTACTTTTATATAGGCAGTTATTGAAAGAGCAAATTTTTTATAGTCTCTCACCTAAATCGTTCGTTCCACGAACTAAATCAGACTACAACAATCGTTCACCTTCATGGTCGCAAATTTTCCTCCGGAGTCAAGTGGCCAGGAACTTATCTATAACGACGATAAGTATTCCACCTTTCCCATTTTTATCTTCTTGATAGAATTGATTTTACTGCTACTTATTATTTCTAACCAAATTTTTCTTCTATTTGTAGGTGTGCAGGAGTTGGGTTTTCAGATTTAATTTTCTTTTCACGTTTTCCTCCATATTTGTCAAGATCGCAAGATTTCTACCTTGTTGAGCTACTATACTTTTATTCACTTATAGTTAGAGTATCTACTGTATAGCATCTGTAATTTACAATACATACCAAGTATATAGAAAAAAAATAAAGTATTACGATGAAATCATTCTATTGATTTTACGTTTTTATTATCTTTTATCAGTTGTCTTAAAATTTATTGTTAAATTTTTTTTAGCAAAGATATATCAGTATATAACAAGTTAGATTTGATCGATTTATTTTACAATCTAAAAACTAAATATTTATATCAAATATCCGATGTTATTTAAAAAAGATACAATATCTGTATAACTTTGGTTATTTCATGAATAAAGAAATTGTCCTATACCAAAGGAATTTTCATCAAGATTACAGGATTGAAATTTAAAAACAAATTTCGATATAACCAGCGATGCGGTATACGTGGGCGTGTCTAAAACTATTTTCTTCACTAAGAAAAATTGCATTCCAACGGACTATTTGCCGAATAATGATTTATTCACAAGACGATTTCGAATAAAAAAGCCATCATAAATATATTAATTAAAACAATGACTTAACAATGACATATCCTGCAGTGTTGGTCAATGACTTATATGACCTTTGTTACCAGTCATAACTTAAAATATCGTTATATAACTTTTTTTTTTTATTATGTAATCAATGGCTAAAAATGACGCCAATTTCCAACACTGGCATCCGGTACATCTAATGGGAAATTGAGATTAGTTATTATGATATGTATCGTCTACATATTCTAAGTCATATTCTACGTACTGTATTGTATTAATAACAAATTAATTTTCAACAAAGGATTTGAATGGGTCTAGAGATAATAGTATCCATCTATCCGTTCAGATAAATGAAAGTAATCAAGTAAGCTAGATAATTAATAATAACTGTCGTACAGAAAAATTTTATCCCTCTTTTATATGTTACGATACAGGTACAATAAGTTAAAGATCAATTAACCAATGATGACTTGTAAGTGTGATCATGATGAATAACCAAATAATTCAAATAATTAATAAAATCCGGATTATTCTGTCGTTCACATAAAGGTTATCTCTAATTGTTTCAAAGTAATATTCTAAGTAATCTTATAGGATTAATAACTGAGATCTAATCTCGTTATCAATTAGGTCAATATTAAAAAAATCTTTCAGAAAAAAAGAAAAAATACCTAAAGTTAACTCTTTTTATCAAGATTCGCTTTATGCATCTCTAAAGACCTCACCAAACTTTGCGGATTTCTGTTAAGTATTTCTATAATCTTTGCCGCTGGTGCACTCAACATGCCCACCATTTCAGTTTGTAATTGTTTTTTATTTGGCAGTTTAGAAATCCGTTCAATATCTTCCATATTTAACAATGAAGAATCCAGTTTACCACCCATCAATAGTAACTTCTTTTGATTATTAATAATATTCAAAATGTCCGAAACCAATTTGGGATTTTTTTCTTCTGAAACATTTGAAGAGATCATTGCAACAGGTCCTACAATTAACGGTGCCAAATTTTGATAAGTCACTGACTGTCTGATAACAGCGTTTAAGACCGACCCTCGAATCATTGTTATATCTGCTCCCACATATCTCAGATCACGGCGAATTATAATTTGCTCTTGAACATTTAGATTGTTATGTTGAACTATGAAGAATAATCGATTGAAATGAAGTTGCTCGTAGTATAAATTAAAGAGATATACTGTATGAAGTGGAAAATCGTTGCCGTATTTTGTTTTTGATTGTTGAGGAGCATGTGGTGGAGGGGTATTTTTTGATCTTATACTTGGTGGTGACGGTGGCGTGTGTGTTGTTGTTGTTGAATCTTTTTTTAAATTCATAATGTTGTGTAATTTTTATATGTATAGAACCAATTTACTTTTATAAGAATTTTAAGTCTTATCGATTAACATCATTTTGAAATAAATAAAAATGAATAATACATCTTTGAGCCTTTAACGCAATTAAAGTTCTGTTTTTAATTGTACGATGGAAATCTTTAAATATTTTCAGATAATTTTAGTAAATTATTACATTGTGAACTATTAAAAATAATTGAATAATTGAATAGCTAAATATACCTTTCATTGAAATGAATCTTTGCATAATGTTTTCTGAAGTAGTGGAGAGAAAGAAAGTTTTAATTGGACATTCAAAGAATTTCATCTATAAAAAAAAAAAAAAAGCTTGCCTAAATCAGGCTACAAACAATGTAAATAAAGTGTGATTACGATAGCCAATCGCTTCCTTTATGCTACGCATATTGATACCAAACATACATGTGACAATTTAATACACTATAATACCCAATGAATTTAATGAATTTTGTATTTGCCAAGTTTGGTTAAACACAAATCGATATATAAAAATATACGAGTCATAAGACCTTTCAACATCCTCCTCCTGCTTTAATACCCATTTCAACTGTTATTTTCGCTCAGTAAATCTGCTATAATAAAATGTCTACAGGGTCTGATCGTTCCGAAGTTAGTAATGTTCAAAATCGCGACCACCTAAATTCAAGTGAAGATATAAATGACTCTGAAATAATAGACGAAGTAAGTGCTGCTCCACCAACTTACGAAGAAGCTATAACATCTCGAGATCTAGAGGACAATATACCGTCTACTTCTTTCTCTACATTCTCTCGTTCAGCTGCAGCTAATTTACATGCTATAGAAGAAATGCTTTCTTCAAATAACTCAACTAGTGAACGACATCCTTTACTTGGCAATAAAAATAATAGTCCATATAATTTATTTGGAAGGTCATATGGTGGTTCATCGAACCAATCCACTTCGTCTAATCAATATATGACTTTTCCTTTACCACGAGAATCATATATAAATTACGAATTTGATTATGAAGTTTTACAAGGTGGTGTTGTATCGTGTGATCCACAATTAAGTAGAGACTCTGAGTCATTATACAGATTTTTTACCGAGCATAATGACAAACCTGAAATGGCTATTATAATTTATGGTAATTTTTAATTCCTACATAAATTAGAGTTGGGTAATAGGCAAAGTATGCTATTGTGGTTGAATCGCTATGTTTATATGTGCTGTCTTTTTTATAATATCATAGTAATTAGCCACGATACTGTTTTTCAATACCATAGTCACTAATAATAATTATATTTATTAATTATATTAATAGGATATCATACACGGAAAGGTGGTAACAATGGAAAGAGTGCTGAAATAATGGATTTTAGGTTCACTTTGGATTTAACGGAATTCGTATCGTCTGTTGGAGAATTACGTGCTTATCCAAATGAAAATAAACCAGACATGAGTTTCATGGATGTCTTGGAAGAATATGTTTATCGTGATAGCGCTCTAAAAACTATTGAAATGCACAAGGTTTATATATCATCATCAAAATTACTTTATTTTATTTCATTTTTTTTTCACATTACTGCATTAAATAATAATTATTAAATTTTTTTCTTTGAAATTCTTTTTATAGATTGTGTACTGGGATTATTCTTATTTAACTCAATCCATAATTTCAATTATTCGTGATCAAGGTTACCAACACGAAATCCGTATCACATATCCACAACGCAATCAATTGATTCGAGTTCAATCCGACAATGCATTAGCACAATTTACACGTAGTACTGTGGGACAAGCTTTATGTTGTTGCTCGTGCTTTGGAATTATACATAGGGTTTTAACCCGATTTTATGACAATGCTTATAAAAGTAAATTTAAAAGTGAATTCCAAATGAATATTAGTGCGAGAGAATGGTTTCAAAGAAACAGGAGGATGATTGTTGCAAATGTTAAGTGGCTTTGATGATAAGTACGAATATAGGAGTATGAGATTTTGAAAGAGGTGATAAATATTTTTATTAAACTAGATATTATTAAGCAGATAAATAGACTATAATTTTAAACAGTATTGACTACTTTTTAAGTTTATTATAATTTTTTTAACACAAATAATAAAATACCAACGATTTTAAGTTGATTCGTCAATTTTTTATTATTTTAATAATAATTCATTATACTTTCTATAATGCTAATAGTGAAAAATGGTAAATGCTATAATTACTGGGTAAAATCTAGTGGTTCACATTGACGAATAATAATGTATATTAAAACACATGTTGCGTTCGATCGTAAACGTTAACTTATTTTCGAAAAGAAATGTATTTTGTTAGAATTATGGTTTGCAATCCATTCATAGTTACAATTCAGTTGCATACCTGGATTGCAAAAGAATTTAGGCATGAAAACGGGTCCCAGTTCGATAAATATATGATAAGCGAATAAGAACAAAGTTCACTGAAAATTTAATGAAAATTAATACAAAAATATTATAGTAATAATAAAGAAATTATAGTTTCTGCTTGTATTTTAGAAGATTTTTTATATTAATTTTTTCACTTGCTTAACTTGTCAAATATATAAAATTCCTCTTACAGAATTATAATTAATCTAAAGACCTATAATTTATCGGATTTTTTTTTTTTAGTTTGTTTAAAAGAGTATAATGAGTTTAAATTTTCTAATAAAAGTAAATAAAACTTAAAAAAGCTATAATAAGTATTTTTTTTACTTTTTCTTTTATTTAAATAATCCTGTCTTTTTACTAAGAATATTATTAAATAAAAACAAATTATTAATCGTGTTTCTTAAATAAAAATTGTAAAAAAAAAAAAAA